TTAATAAAATTTTATTAAAAATATTTTAATAAATTTATATTATAAATTATACTTTTAATATAAAATCTAAATTATATCATATGAATCTCATATAATAAATGTTATTTTAATCAATACACTAAAAACATAATTTTTTAAAAAAATAAAAAAAAATAAAAATGTCAAAAACTTAAAATTTCAAGGACACCTTATTTTCCTCCTCCTACCTTCCAGGATGTTTCCGTGGTATTAACTTGAAATCTCACAAGCGTTGTAGCATGTACTCTTTCCAATTAGTCTCTTCGTTTACTCCTTCCGCTTAGTCCCCTTGTCTCCGCTAGTGGCTAGCAGACTTGCAGAATGCAAGACAGCTGTTCCACTTTAGTTGTTGTTTTCTGCACCACCCTTCGGTGGAGCAGTGGTGACCTTAACTTTATCTGTGTGAGTAATAATGCCCTTGTCCCTTGCGGTGGGCAATGTGTGGGACGTTTCCGTCATATTTTCACTTCAAATTTCTGCCCATTCAACTTCTTGATAAAAATCTAGATATATTTTGGTCATCTCAGCGAATTTTATAATTTAAAACAATTTAAATAGTACAATGTGCAGTTATGTTTTTATTAATTATATTTTTTAATTAATTTATATTAAAAAATTTTAAATTAATTTTAATTTTAACAACTTTTTTGCCCTCAATTTTAACAATTATTTAAATAAAAGCTTTCATCTAATATTCATAATAAAAATAAGATAAATTTTTGTAATTTTTTAAAAATATTTAATGCACCTTCTTTTTTTGTGTTTTTTAGTCAAATTTTGTTACACATAAATTAAAAAAAGTTTATGGAAAACTAGGATATAGATATATAGAAGTCGAAATTACACAATTGTAAAAATTATAGTTTTTTTAATATATGTTTTTAGCATAAGTTTTATTTTTAAATTTTAAATTGTAAAATAAAAAATAATTTTTTATATTTTTTAATTATTTATTTACATATCATGTAACTTAAATATTTTTTATTTTAATAAAAATACCACTAAATTACAAAAATAGATATTATTTTAATAGTTAATGTCAAATAAATGATTTTTTATTAGACATTTTAAAAAATTATAATCAATTTTTATTTTATATACAAATTAAAAACTAAAAGATAAAATAATAAAAAAGTATTTTATAAAATAAACTATATAATAAAAATACAATTCACTTTATAAAATTATTAAAATAT